GTGACTGAACTATAGATTTTTATGACCTTACAAGTTAAGGCATGATAAACCGTGTAGTCTCTTCCTTGGATTTGTTGGCAATGAAAATATTTGGCAGGAAATAAAAGCTGTACAGGTCAATGGTGTTTTAAAAGTTGATCTCTGTCACTATTTGAGCCAGGTCTGTGTGGTCGATGTGTGTCGTGACAAAGTGAAACATGTCTGTTATTGAAATGTCCCAGTCTGAAATGATTCCCCTTGTTGATGCAGGATTGCAGACAGTCCACTTCACAAATCACTCACATCTTTCAAATCCCATGTGTGCAGCTCCCAGGACCTCCTGCAGTCACCCACCTTCTCCCACAAACTCTTTCAAGCCTCCTTTGTTCCATCCAGTTGTATTTCCAGTCTGTCTTTTGTTCCTTTTCATCACCATCTCGTCACTCCTCTTCCCCTCCTGCTCACCATCTTTCAGAAATTTTATAAAGCCCCTATTTTTGTATCTGTCCGTTGGAGGCTGGACCCACGCTGCAGCTCTGCACTGTGTGACGGACTCAGCTCACAAGGGAAGCAAGATAGAGCAGAAAGAAATAAGAGAGAAGGGAAGACTGAATGTAGAGAAGAAGAAAAGTGGGAGGCAGCATGGTAGAATAGATAAGACTGACAGAGTGAAGAATACAAACGTGGATGGGACAGACGTCCTGGTGTTTGTGTGTGTGTGTGAAGGAGAAGAGTCGAGTGACAATAAAAGAGGACTTGCAGTCATCTCCTCCACCTAAACATGTTCATCTTCCTGGAATCACGTCGCTCCAACAATAACCCATCCAGACATCATTCCCTGCCCGACCTCAGGTCCCATCAGAATGACATGACTGTCAGCTGTTCCTCCACAATCAGCTGTTCCTCCACAATCAGCTGTTTTTCCACAATCAGCTGTTCCTCCACAATCAGCTGTTCTTGTACAATCAGCTGTTTTTCCACAATCAGCTGTTTTTCCACAATCAGCTGTTTTCCACAATCAGCTGTTCTTGTACAATCAGCTGTTTTTCCACAATCAGCTGTTTTTTTCACAATTAGCTTTTTTTCCACAATCAGCTGTTCTTCCACAATCAGCTGTTCTTTCACAATCTGCTGTTTTTCACAATCAGCTGTTCTTCCACAATCAGCTGTTCCATCACAATCAGCTGTTCCACCACAATCAGCTGTTTTCCCACAATCAGGTGTTCCTCCACTATCAGCTGTTCCTCCACAGTCAGCTGTTCTTTCACAATCAGTTGTTTTTCCACAATCAGCTGTTCCTCCACAATCAGCT